AATTTGTAGACAAGCTCTAGAAAATGTAATAACTGCACGGTATATATTCCAGAATCATAGGAAAAGACGGATCGTGGTAAAAGGACTCACCCTTGCCCCCTCTCCCTTTTCCCTTCCAAGTGAGCACGCACAGACGTGACCCTTGCTCTTATCCCACCTCCAGCCCAGCTGGCATATGGCCCAGGCACCCCCACTGCCACGCCCTGGGACTGTTGCCTAATTCCCTCTGGTTGTCCAGGTAACCAACATGGGCTGGGATGCTGGGGCCTGAGGGGCCTTTGTTCTCTGTCACTCTCTCCTTGGCAGGGAAGGGGCCACTGCAGACAGCTCAGCCCTGGCTCCACTGAGGACACTCCCTTTAGCCATTCCCTCCAGACAAACACTCCTGAGCTGGAGGATGAGGCTGGCAGAGGGACAGGTCATCCTCAAGGCCGCCGTCTGGCTGCTCGGGTTCTGGGCGCTCCTGGCTCCAGTCCAGTCTTCTCAAGGCTGCCCCTCATGGTGCTATGTCTCCTCAGAGGTGGTGATTCCTAGGAAGGAGATGCACCATGGCAAAGGCGTTCAGGTGCCAGGCTGGCTCTCCTACAGCCTGCGTTTTGGGGGCCAGAGACATGTCATCCACATGAGGCACAAGAAACTTCTTTGGCCCAGACATCTGCTGGTGATGACTCAGGATGACCAAGGAGCCCTGCAGATGAATTTCCCCTACATCCCTCCAGACTGTTACTACCTGGGCTACCTGGAGGACATTCCTCTATCCATGGTCACCGTAGACACGTGCTATGGAGGCCTCGAAGGGATCATGAAGTTGGATGACCTCGCCTATGAAATCAAACCCCTCAAGGATTCCAGCAGGATTGAACATGTTGTTTCTCAGATAGTGGCCGACACCAATGCAACGGGTCCTACGTATAGACTAGGACACCGGGAGGTCATAGACCCCCTCTTCTCTGTGGCAAACACCAGTGGGGCACCCAGAATTTCTAGTAAGACCTACTCTTTCCATTTAACCACTATGAAAGGTCAAATTCAAGCTTCCA